CGGGGGTGCGGGAAGCTGCCCGGGCCCGTCCCCGGCGGCTGCGCGAAGGCGCGGGAGGCTGACCGGGTGCACCTGGGCGACCGCCAGGTGGAGCTGGAGCGAGCCAAGACGCAGCTGATGTCCATGCTCATGATGAACCTGGAGTCCCGGCCCGTGATCTTCGAGGACGTGGGGCGGCAGGTGCTGGCCACGCGCTCCAGAAAGCTGCCCCACGAGCTGTGCGCGCTCATCCGTGAGTCCCGGCCCCGTCGCCTCCCTCTGGCGCCACCCGCCAGGGGCCCGGGCCTTGTCCAGCTTCCCTGCCGCGGGACTCCCGGGAGGACAGGCTCAGTCCTGGGGTTCTCAAAGGGCCTGGGACAGCAGCGGGCCGGGGGGCCCCTGCTGGACGGCCACCCGCGTGTTGCCGGCCGCTCCTTGTCTGGGGCTCTGGGGCAGAGTGACCGGTCAGCCCGGCCTCAGCCGCTGCTTTCCCTCAGGGAGCCCCTTCAGCCCTCCCCCGGGACTGTCTTTGTAGCAGGGTGACCCCACGGGTGGGCAGTGGCCGACAGTCGCCCCTCGGAAGGCCCTCGTGTCTGCCCAGCCGGGCCCAGCCGGCCCTGACTCTCCTTCCCATGCCAGGCAGCGTGAGGCCCGAGGACATCCGCAGGGTGGCCTCGGCCATGCTCCGCGGGAAGCCGGCGGTGGCGGCCCTCGGCGACCTGACAGACCTGCCAAGCTATGAGCACATCCAGGCGGCCCTGGCCAGCAAGGACGGCCGGCTGCCCCGGGCCTACCGGCTGTTCCGCTAGCCGCCCGCCCCTGCACCCGGACAGTGGCCTGTGCTTGTGGCCTGTGGTCTCCGCCGCTTCGGGGTGAAGACCGGCCGCCGTGGCACAGCCTGCACCCTGCAGGGAGCCTGCGCGGGAGCCGCCCCAGAGGCCCCTGGCCAGTCCGCCCCCCGGGCAGGCACAGCCTGCCCTGAGGACCGTCCCCTCATGGGGTCCCGGGGGGAGGGGGTCTGCCGCGCGTGGCCAGTTCCCTGGGACACAGCCGTGTCCCGAAAGCTGGCGGCTCGGCCCGCGCAGGGTGGGCCCCTCTGAAGCAGAGGCCACTGCTCGTTCCCAGCCGGAAGCGCCCGGAGCCCTGAGGTCTCACGTGGGGTCTGGGGCTACTGCAGCGAAGAGGGCAGCCTCAGGCCCAAGTGGCCGGCTGCAGCGAGCGGCCTGGTGTGGGCAACGGGCTAGTAAAGGTGTGAGCCACACGGCCCTTGCGTTGTCATTTGTCGGGGGCCGGGGCGGGGGGC